TGGGGGCCTTTTGGTTCCAAACAGTAGTGGCATGAATAGGGTTAAAATGTTTGGCCTTTTTTATTGATTTGTTTCTTTAATGAATTTTGATTTCTATTGAATTTAAATCAGTTGGCAATCTTCTTGCCAAAGAAAAGCACAGAAACACTATTTAAACATACCTCAGTAAAATCAATTACCACAGTTAAGGAGCTGGGTTATTTCACTGAAAACTCACGTTCTGAAGAGAAGTTAATATGCCTATCTCAGGTTGTGCAAATACCTATGATAGGAAGAAAAATAAAGGGAGACTCAGAGTGAAGGTTTAGGTGGAAGAAAATTTATAGTTCATTGGAGAGGAAAAGAGAAAGCAGGACAGAGAACCATATCAAGAGACCGCATTCTCTCCTAGAGTATCTTGATTCATCCATCTGGAGGGCAGCTGATGAGCTATTAGGTCACCCCAAGCACCAAGTTTGCAGGTAAGAAGCTTCTGAATATATTTGGGAATTGGAAATAATATTTAAAAAACAAACAATTGAAAACGTGAGACCCATTTGGTTGTAGCTTAGTTCTATTTAGTGGGGGACAGGGGGAGGAATTATAGGGCTATGACCCTGCAGTGTTTTGTATTGTAGTATTTCACCTTCACCTTTTTCTAGCAACGTTTGGAATGTCATATATTATAGTGTCAATATTATGTTTTCAGTTCTCCCTAATTATGGTTGCCCACACCATGCAAAGAAAAGGGGCTCCGGAAAATATTTCCCAGGAGACAAAAACATTTTGAGACACTTAACACTGATAACGTGAAATACCATCCATGAATAATTGTCCAACAAAGAAAAGAGGAGAATGATCATTTTAATTTGTATTTCCTTTTAATTTTAGACAGTTTGCTTGTTCCTTCACCCTAACTTTAATTTTTAATAATATAATACTTACAGAAAATGGCAAGACTAATTAATTCTGACTCCTGTACATTTATGAAGTCTGTTTTCCATCAATGTGTTTTACAGCAAGGGTCCCCAATCCCCAGGCTGCAGCCTACTACCAAGCCATGGGCTTTTTTGGAACTAGGTCACACCTGTAGCAGGCCAGCATGCACACACACACACATACAGCTCAACTTGTGCAAGTCGAGCATGTGTGCACATATGTGCTGGCCTGCTACTTGCACAAGTCAAGCTGCATGTGCATATGCACCAGCCCATCGCTTGCACAAGTCAAACTATGGCCTGGTTCCCTTCTCCCTCCACTAACTGGGCCACCAAGCCGCAAAGATTTGGAACCGCTGTTTTACAGTATACCCGCGGTGGGATTCTACCAGTTCACACCTATTCGCTAGAACCGGTTGTTAACATTCTAAGCAGTTCGGAGAACCGGTTGTTAGAAGAAATTACTGGCCTAATCCTGTAAGGAAGGAAACATTCTGGTGTTGCTTACAGAAACTGCTTCTCCATTAACTCTTATTACATTCTTGGCAGGACTAGACTTCCTGTCTCAGGAACTTCTCTGGAGATTTTTTCCCCTCCTTTGCTGCTTCTTTGCTTGTGTGGAGTGACCATTCAAAGTTACAATGGTACTGAAAAAAGTGACTTATGACCATTTTTCACACTTACGACTGTTGCAGCATCCCCACAGTCATGAGAGGCCAGGCGAGGAGATGCGTGCCTCGATGTGAGTGATACTGAGTTGGCCACACCCAAACAATAACATGACCACCAAGCCATGTCCACCCAGTTACATGACCACCAAGCCACGCCCACCAACTAAGCCACACCCACAGAACCGGTTGTTAAAAAATTTAAATCCCACCCCTGAGTATACCTGTATACACAGATAAAGAGAGAGATACATATACACACATATATATACAAATACACATAGACAGAGACAGAGAGAAACATAGACATGCCAATCATACATTTTTCAAGTAAAAATAATTATATAAAATGCAACAAGTGTGAATTCATAAATGAAAGAAATTAATAGGGTCACTTACTTTTTTATTTAATCCACTTTCATTCAGCAGCCAATCACTCTTAAAACTTTATTTTCTTTTTTATCACACAAACTTCTTAAATAATCCATTAGACTGCATTTTACCCAGTTTCCACTTCTATGTAAAAAAATGGGCAGAAGAATGTTCTTATACATAACAATTTTTCCGTCTTTCAACAAATATTCATTCATTGCAACTGACCACATATTCCCCACTATCCTTTAAGGTATTTGCATTCCTTAAAATTTCACAATTTTTGCAACTTTATTAAACATTCTATCAAGATTCACAAGTTCATGTATTTGATTTTCCTTCCTTGCTTCTTCTATAATTTTCTTATCAAACACAACTACTGTGGTCTTGTAATGTATCAACTTTTATCACTGGAAACCATTCAGATTCTAACATTGCTACAGTCCTAATACATTTGTCCATAATACATTACAGAACTAAGATGATATCTATACATCCTTGTCTTACTTCCTACTCAGTGTTGAATTATTCACTAAACTTTCCATTTATTGTCATGTAAGGTTTATCTCCTTCATACACTGCTGTTATCACAGTTAACAAACAACTTTCAACTCCATATCATGCAACACATTCCATAGTTCAGATCCCTTCACTTTATCATACAATTCTATAAATCAATTAACTTTAATTAAATGTTCTTTTTTATATCCATAATTTTCAGTAAATTGCTGAAGGGTAAAAATCTAAACTGTACAATCCAAGATAAAGCCACATTACACTCCCCAAATTTTGCCCAGCAGGGTCTTTTCTACTACTTCCTAGATGCATTTTAAAAACCAACCATTACAGTGTTCGCACTCACCCTCATTTTCTGATAGTGTAAAGAAGTTAGTTAAAGCTAGACTATACATTCAGAACGTGTTTTCTAATCTAGAGCTGGATTCAGTCTCCTAACTACTACACCCTTTGTAAGAAGGCATCATAAAGCAACTGATATATGTGAACTTAGAAACAATGTAAGACTATCTAAGACAGTGTTTCTCAACTTTGGCAATTTGAAGATGTGTGGATTTCAAGTC